GATAAATACTGATATTGCGATAAAAATATACTCTCGTTATATAATGAAAATATTTGAAATAACAGAGAAAAAAGAAAACGAAATGTAACGTTTAAACATGTTTTACTAAGCCATCTATACTTTTCTTAATTCAGTAATATGATAATAACTAAATCATGATTAATATTTTCAGATGTATCTCGGCTGGATTGATTATGGAGTTTTAGCTTTACTTTTGAGTAAAGTTAATTAATTAAAAATTTTTCTTTTAAAAAGAAAATAATATTTTATTTAATGATTCCTAGTAATATCAGGTGCTATCGGTATTTATCAAGGTTGTTTACGATCAAAAAAAGTATCAACACAAGAATTTCTTGTTGGTGATGGTCGAATGAAAGTAAATTGATTTCAAGGAAATATATATATATATTTTTTTTTTGATCTCTTTGAAAGATTTTACCAACAGCAATGAGTCTTTTAGCAAGTTTAACTTCTGCAGCATCATTACTTGGAATGCCTGTTGAAGTTTATTATTATGGAACAATGTTTATCTATTGTAGTATGTTGAAAAAAAAATATTTTTTTTTTTCTAATATAATTGAATTATATGTTGTAAAAAGTCTTTTCATGGTTCATATCAACATATATAACAATGAAATTTTTTATACCTAAATATCATTATATTGGAAATGCTAGTATTTATGCAGTATGTATTTAAATAAAATAAATAAAATAAAATAATTCAATTGTGAATAATAGTATCTTGAAGAACGTTTTTCATTAACAATTCGTATATTAGTAACATCAAGTTATATCTTAATAACAGTAAATATAAATTAAAATAACAAGTATGCCATTCATAATGACATCATTAGTATTTTACCTTTGTTTTTCTGTTTATTTTAACTATTCAATTTTGTTTTCTTTTAAAATTCTTTCGAAATTTAACAGATATTGTAGATCTTCAGATAATGAAACGTTAATATAAGATGATTTCAAAAACTGGTTCTATTTATCTTCTTTTAGCAAATTGTTTCGCACCCAATTTAAGAACAACGAGAATTTGACATAAGTAGTTCTATTGGAGATTTCACATTTGATAGTTATTTAATGGGGAGTCATTTTTTAATTTTTTTAATATGATTCCTTCAGTTCAAACTGCACGTAGATATCCAAGTGACATTGAAAAATAAAGAGAATCCGTTTTAGAAATCAAAAATTCTCAAGATCTTTACTTTTCATCATCGAAAAAATGATTCAGCAAACAAACTATGTGTAAAATCATATGGTTTTGTACGGAACTAAATGAGAAATCTTTTGGAAAAAAAAACTGAAGTGGCATAGTTAAGCTGCTAATAAGGAATTTCGTAGCAAAATACGAATGATATCATTATTCACGGCGTACTCGTAATTTGAGATATTTTCAAATAAGTAAATTACATATATATTAAGGTTCTCTATATGGCTGTTATTATATATGGACCGAGTTTAGCTTTAAGTCAAGTAACTGGATTAAACATATGGGTTGCAGTTGGATCCTGTGGATTAGTTTGTACTGTTTATACAAGTTTTGTAAAATAAAACCAAAAAAAAACATATTATTATTATTATCAATTAAATAAATTATTTCTTTTTGTAAATAAAATTTTAGGGTGGAATAAAAGCAGTTATTTGGACTGATGTCATACAAGCAGTAGTCATGTTTATTGGACTTATTTTATCGATTATATTTGGTATTTTATTAAGAATTATTTATTTATTTTAAATAAAATTTGATTAATTATTTTTTATTGTAAATTAAAGGTGTTATAGATGCTGGTGGATTATCGATTCTATTTGAAAAACTCAAAAATGGAAATCGTTTACAATTTTCCGTGTATAACATCGATCAAATTTTTTGATAAAAAATTTCAAACAGATATTTCTATTTTTAGTATAACATTAGATCCATCAATTCGTTATACAATTTGGAGTGTATTAATAGGTGTTACATTTTCTAGTACAGCACAATATGCATGTATTCAAACTCAAGCTCAAAGATATATGTGTGTTAAAAATACAAAATCAGCACAAAAGTATTTGAAAATAAAAAAAAAATTCCAAAATATTAAACTATATTTTTTGATTTAAAAAAAAAGAGTTGTTTGGGTACATTATGGAATGAATATATTTATGCAAATACTTTTTTTATGTGTTGGATGTTTACTCTATGTTAAATATAATCAATGTGATCCTCTTCAAGCTAAAATTATTTCAAGAGCAGATCAAGTTAAATTAAATTTTTTTAATATGAATTTAGTTTTGTTTTTTTGTTTAGTTATATCCATTTTTTGTTATTGAAATATTAGGAAAATATTCTGGTTTAACAGGAATTTTTATAGCTTCAATATTAAGTGCAACATTAAGTACATATTCAAGTGGAGTTAATAGTATTGCAACAGTTATTATTGAAGATATTTATAAACGATTGTCAAGTAAATGTTCAATGTCGAATGAACATCAATTGATGTTTTCGAAATTTTTATGTAAACATTTTTTATTTTTTTTTTGCCAATTTCCAAATTTTTCTTTTTTTTTTTCATGATTATTTAGCGGCAGTGATTGGTTGTCTAACAATATTTATGGCATTTGTTGTCTCTTATATGAAAAGTAACATAATAACAGTTTGTATTGTTTAAATTTATCAATTAGTTTATAAATATTAATCATTAATTAAGATAATTATACAAATATTTGGTGCATTTGCAGCTCCAATTCTTGGTTTATATTTACTTGGATTATTTTCATCACGTGTTAAAAGTCGAGTAAATTGAAAAAATTTCAATTTAAATCAAAGAAATTATATATGATTTATTTTCATATTTTGCTAGAGTGCACTTGTTGCCTTTTTTCTTTGTTTAATATTTCAAATCTTTATGCTTTTTGGAGCAATATTAATTACTAAACCTGTTAATAAACAAGGAGGACGATTAGCTACTTCTCTGGATGGATGTATACCACCAATAAATATCACTCGTTCCGAGATAATATATACAAGGTTATTATATTTGAAAAAATAAATGTTAGATGATTGTTTTTTTTTTTTTACTTTGTATAGTTCAAATATATTTGTATCGTTATTTTCAATATCTCCTCTTTGGTTTATATTTAATGGTACTATGTTAACAATTATTTTTGGATTGATTTTTTCTTTTATTCTTGGTAAACAGAGCATTTATTTGAAAAATTATAATTAAATAATTATTTTCAATTTAGATGCAAAAGATTCAAAAATAATCGATCCATTATTATTAGTATCTCGATATGATATATTTCCATGTTTATCATCATTAACAAAAGTATAAATATCAGTTTTTTTATTTTTAAATAAAAATTTTATTATCAATGTTTTTCTTTTATAGAATACTGTTAAACGAATAGTAATACAGAAACACAATACAATTTCAAATAATGATAATATCATCGAACAAGAATCCATGATTTAAAATTAAAATTGTCATTTTCTATAGTTTTGTGTATGTGTCTTTATAGAAGCGATTAATCGAAAGATTCAATCGTATCTTTATTATCTTCAACATGTATAGGATTCAGTATAATAAAAAGAAAAAAACGTACTAATAATCATGCTTTTATATAGTTAAATCTGGTAATCAAATACAATTTTGCTTCGAAAGACAATTATCAGTTGTATATCTTCTTTAACTAATTTATTTAGTTAGCTTTCATTAGAACTGGATTCGTTTTAGCACATTGAAAAAAAACTTTTGTATCAAAATAGAAAAATAATACGATCGAACTAATATCTTGAAGTGCTGAAATGTATCTGTTACAATTATTCTCTTTTATGTCAGTTTCCATCTTACTTGTTAAAAAAATAATGTGATCGAAATTTTCATATGAATCACAAAAATTAATGTGAATAGGTGAAATTTGATGGGTTATATTATATCTATGAATACAGTCAACACCTGTACTTTTGTACTGTATTTAAATTGTAATAAACTTATACTGTAGTATATAAATAACACTACATGAAAGGATTTTGTAGTCACACAGTTCACTGTTTTCTGAGCGACTAGAATCATGAAGTCCGTTATGTTTTCTTTGCAGGTTTTTTACTTTTATCAATCAATGATGCAATAATTATATTATTATCTCGTTCATCAACTATTTTTATATATGACTTTGAATTTGTAAATGAAATTTCATAATGGTTCTCAGTGTGAAAAAACGTATTTGCCAATTATTCAACTTTGTAACTGTTTTTTTTGAATTTCTCATTCACGATCGGAACTATGTTTTCGGCTGTCTTAGCGAAATAATAATTGATATATGTCAACAGCATCTAATTAGACGAAATCGATAAATCTATATTCGGATGAACCCATCAATAGACTTTCAATAATCATTATTTTTCAATGGTTATTCATAGTGACATGATGAGACAAAATGAAATTTCTCTTTTGAAAGATTTATATAAAGAGTCATTAAAACGGATATTTAATGATTATTATAAATCTAAATTATATTCTAGTCATTTTTATTAAGGACGTGGGATATATATACGTACATATACTGACGTAGGATGCGACAGTTGTCGTTATATGTGTAACAGGTAATTTTATTATGTCAATTTTCTAACTGATGAAATAGATTGACCTGTAAAATATGTACAAATGTCAAGGTCGCGGTTAATAGATATATAGTTGCTTTATTTTATGCATTTCTAGTAAAACTTGATTAAAAAAAAATGCAATGTAATGATTGCAACAACAAAAGTAATGCTAGATAATGTTACAATAATGACTGCACTCAGATTTTTCTGTAATTATATGATATGATAAATTTAATGGAGAAAAATTAGTTTTCATTTTTCAATATACAGGTAAGCTCAAAAAAATAATGGAATCAGATCAATGTCATATGATACAAGTCAAGGATTAGAGCATTTATATACTAGCACAATCGAACACATCGATTATATATATAGAAGTACAAAATATTTTTTGTATATTGTAATTATCGTCCTTAAAACATGAATACAATGAACAGCACATTCATCGTCGTATTTTTATTGATTGTATTAAATTCAATGGCTCTTGGATTCATATGTCCAACTGACGGTCTCTTTTTGAATTCAGACGATGAGCACACATATTTTCAATGTGCATCTGGTACTGCCTATTTGATGTCTTGTCCAGCAGGATTAGTTTGGGATCAGAGCAATCATATGTGCAAATGGCCATCAGTTCAAGGTTTGTTGATTTCATCTATTAAAGATATTTTTTTTATCTAGTTAAGCTATGCATATTTCTTTCTCTGGCATTAACAGAATCTAGATAAAATCATATGATAGAATATCTAATCGTTTTTCATCTAGTTGCAAACCTTAGACTTGGTAATCAAATCTGCTAACTAGATAATTGCAGAAAATCACTAAATGTAACTTAATACTCTTAGCTATATGAATCTGAATTTAAGTGAACCGGAAAATCGATTTCAGATAGAATCTGAAAAAAGTCTTGTGTTGAGTTTTCTTTTTCATGACTTGATTACTCTATGGATACGACAAATCCAGCTGTGGCTGAGTCTTCCCTACTCAAATGTAATTCAACATTCATCCAAGAACGTCTTTTCGAAAAACTTCTGAAAAGCTTATTTTTTTACATTTTTTGACTAAAAGTGATGCATTTATATTTTGTTTATAGTCATTTGAACTGTTCAGCGTGAAAAATTGAGACTGGATGCAGTATCTTTTCGGACTCAGAATACTGCTGCCATGCTCTGTCTTCTTTTCTGGTCGGCTTTAATGAAAATGAGGGAGGAACTGACTGGTAAACTAGCAGTTTTCGCCGAATCAAGAATCTGGAATAGAGATGAACAATTCTCGATCGTTATTGACAATACCAATTTAAAAAAACCTTCATTTTGCCTTTTCTTCTTCTGAAGTTGTCAATCTGAAGAATAGATGTACTCCATCATTAACTTACTAGTCACTTGTGAAAATCTTTCTTGTAGTATCTAAACGTTTTCTAATCACTGTTGGTGGTAGCGTGACAACTGGCAAATGTCTCGATGTTGCTGGCGGTAATGGAGAACTTCACTCTAAAATTCAATTATTCCGTTGCCATGGAAAGGAAAGTCAACAATTTGAATTTCATCCTGATGATACAATTCGTATTATGGGCAAATGTTTGGACATTCCCGATGCGAAAGCATATGATCATCAAAGTGTACAACTATTTCATTGTAATCCGTCTCAAGAAAATCAACGTTTCGTACGTGATCAACAAAATCGTATTCATGTCATGGGTAAATGTTTGGATGTGCCCAATGATGCAATAGTCAATAACAATCCATTACAATTGTTTCACTGTCACGATCAAGCAAGTCAACGTTTCACATTGGTAAATCTTTGATGTGAAATATTTTTGTATTTCTTTTGGAGTACTGTTCAGCCCAACTAAATAAGCATACATCATTTTTTTTGTTAAACATCATACTCCGTTTGACATAAGTCTAACATTCATCATACTGTTTTTTTTGCAATCTTTTATTTTAATAAACAAAAAAATACGAAATATCCAGACACAATAAATATGTACAAACATTTTATGTGTAACTATTGTCAACATGATTTGACTGAATTAAAGTATACTTCAAACTGTTTAGATATAATTCAATGTGCAAAAAAAAGTTGATCCAAATTTTTTTAAAACTGATTGATGATCTTAATGATCAAACACATTTCACATTGAAGATAAATTAATTTGAGTCCAATGATTTACCTCTGTATTATTTCTACATTTCCAAAGACAAAGACTCTTTTTTTACAATTGAAGGATGAACGTAGGTGTGGCATTCATTTGGTTCACGCTTACTCACATTTGCAGTTGCTGCACGCACAAAATATGAGTGTGGATGTGGGTGTTTGGGGATGTGGGTATAGGTGTGAGTTCAAGTAAAATTAGAACATATCCACACCTACATCCTCAATGATGTGTCGACATAATTATTATTATCTTATGTCGAATTTTTTTTAATGTCAACTGCTTTGTTTTGAATAAATTCAGATTCTTTAAAGCCATAGAGGTGAAGTTTTCGCCACTAGATAGAGCAACGTGAGGGGCGTCTATCTGTGTAACATTCATTAAGTTCGAAGAAGTTTTTCAAGGATAATTTTATGTCAACATTTTTTTCGTTATTCATTTCTACAATTGTTTGTAGCAATCTGCACTCGAGTTACACCAAAATGTAGCTCGAACACTGTTGTATTCTCTGTATAATTGTTGGATCTTTTGCCATCTTCACCTTGGATTCATGCTTCAAGAGAAGTGCTTTGAAATCTGGAAATTTTATGGATAATACGGTTGTCTCTGGACTGCATATTGGTGTAATCGAGCGTAAGTTACTACAAAAGGTTGTTAAAATGGACAACAAAAAAGGTCATGCACAATTATTTTTGAAAAACTTCTTCGAACTTAATGAATGTTATACAGATAGACGCCTTCAATATTGTTCGATCTAATGGCGAAAAATTGACCTCAATAGCTATAAAGAATCGAAAGTTATTCAAAAAACGGTAGTTGGCATTAAAAAAATCGACGTTAGCTAATAATAATTACATCTACATGTTTTTGGTGGACACTAGCATGTATATAAAGGTGGAAAAAAAGTAAGAGAAAGGATCGATATTGCACAAGCGCAGAACAGAATTAATGATATGACGCAGTCCTATTGCGTATTTTGTTTGTGTTGAGAGAAATAACCTACACTTTCTCTCTATACATAAGTTAATTGCAGTTGAAAAAAAAACAGTCGCTACCTTTTAATGATACGTAAATCACACGGGCAATAACCGAGCATGTATTACGTATGCGTGTATGTAAGGAAACATAATGTCTAACAACAGTACTGTCTTCACTACATGTAATGGCACTGAATCAGATAATTATCTGCGCTTTTCAATGTCAGCTTCAATGTCCATTGATATACTTAGTCAGAAATCATTAAAATGGCAAGTAACATTAGAAATAATTTATGTCAGTCTATCTACATTACAATTCCTAACGGCTACTATTTTTAATTTACTATCAATTGAAACTTTGTTACAGAAAAAAATTCGTATCACATCACTGGGTGTTTATTTGATCGTCTTCTTTTTGGCTAGCTTAATTGGGATGATTCTGTTATATTTTAGAATTATTGTTACACTATTTTTTAACGAAGAATTAGTTAAACATAGTTTAATACATTGTCGAATAATTACAACAATTTTAAATTCTACATTAATTCTATGTTTATGGACTGGTGCATTTGTATCAATTGAACGAGTATTAATCCAACTTTTCAAGTATAGTTTATATCGATCACGTAAAAATGCTATTATAATTTCAGTGTCACTTATTCTCTTAACGACAGCAGCAAACATAACAACATTTATAGGTTGGAAAAGTGCAGTACATCCAATTGTACTTAATATGCGTCTATGTAAATTTCGACAATTTCCACTTCATTGGAAGTTAGTCGATGAAATAGTTAATAGTATGTACATTCACTTTGTAACACCATGGATTTTACATGTTCTATCGATTGCCTGCGTTTTGATTGATATTATACGACATAAAATTGCCCTGACTGATGCAGACAGATGTAATTGGAACACGATTATGTGTCAACAGTTAAAGAAACATAAAGACTTTTTTATTCCACCAATACTCATTCTTACCTGTACGCTACCACATGTCCTGTTAACTAATTTCTCTGATTCTATTACACAGCATGATTGTTCAAAATCAAATATGAATGCCTATCTTCGATTACATATAGCATTAGACTTTTTGTCTTATTTACTACAAACTATAGGATTTTTTACATATATTTATCCATCAAATGTGTATATGAATCGATTTCGTGAAACGTGGACAATAAGAAGAAGTAGAGCCGTTCTAACAGCTTTATTTGGACATCATCAATCACGTACAAGTCGTATGATTGAACAAGTACAATTATCTGTAGATGATATGAACCTTAACTGAGTGTCTTTATTTCTATGCATATGCTTATAGAAATTTTGTTTTCTCTAGACTATTTTTTTTAGTAATTCCATTTATTAACATGTATTGTAACTTCGATCTTTTTGATTTCATCACATAGCAGATCGAATAAAAACTAAATTTCATCAATAAACAGAATCATTTACACAATTTATTGATTTTTCAATATTAAATGAGAAGTTTTCATTGTTGTTTGTGTGTTCGTCAGTTAATCTGAGAGCTTTCGAGAAGATTTTTACTCAAGTCAATATCGTTTATCTCTATTGTGGACTGATACTTCTTATCATCATAAACAAACTGAAATATGTTATGAACGTTGAAACGCAGAATGTTATTCTCGTTCCCAGCGACACCATCCGTCCTTCAACTGACCTCCAAAACTTACTGTGAACTGTTAATGAATTTTATGTTCAACACCATTGAATATTTCAAATCTAATAAAGCCTCTTGCCAAGTCGATGAAATACATGACGTACCAGAATCGCAGTATGCATGTCAGTGATCGATTCAATAATATGAAGGAATAAAAATAGAAAATGGCTCCAATGCATTCATTTCATTTACGAGAAAGCATCTTTATCAGATCAGGTAAAGAAGTGCATAGGTACTTTTTCAAAGTTCGAGTTTATGGGTGACTATGAAAGTAGTCTTTCTAGCTATTCTCAGAAAACGTTTCGAACACGCTGATAACGTTGTTGAAAGTCATTGATGATGATAATCAAACTATTGAATATGATTTTTCGATCATTTTGCCTCTGATCAATAAATTTTTTTGCACTATGTAAACGAATTATCATGGCGTTTCTATCAAAAATAGTTGTACAACTAAAAATAATAAATCTTTCATCTATTTCTCTTTGTTTTATTTAGCCTTGACTTTCATTTAGTATATGTTTTATTGTTGTTTTCGATTGAATAAGATACTATTTTTTGTCGATACATTTCCATCGTTTGATCTGAAGGATTGAATAGCAGAACAAAAACTTGATTAGTTCCTTTTTCTTCTAAATTTTTCGTGACTGTAGTTGCAATTAACTCATCCGCAAAAGTTCATTTTATTTTTTCTTTTCTTTCGTTGTCCAGCATTCATTTTTAGTTCATTTCATTAATCGCCATGCGCTAGAAATTAACATGCCACAAAAAAGAACGCAATTTGTTACAATTCTGAATGAAATTGTCTATTTTTGTACAGATTCTGAAAAGTTAAGCTTTCTAGTGTATTTGTTATTTCAGGAAGAAAAATGTTCGTTGTAACTGAAGCTCTCGGTTTGTGACAGAAATTAGAAGACATCTTAGTGAGCGAAATTTCAGAGCTAAATTATGGTGTACGCTTTTTCTTGATTTTCTATGAATTTAAACCTATACCTCAATAAAATCGTGTCAAAAGTTTTTTACCAACTGGAAAGGTTCTCTTATTAGATGGTCTGGGTGTATTCACATAGAGAACATCACACTCAAAGAGCATGATTATCTATGAGGTCGGCGTGAAACACAAATCACGACATGAATTCACTTAACACTTACTACACAGAGAAAGGCACACATTACTAGATAATATAAAAGCAGTACTCGTCGGTATTCGGAATGAACAGGCCAATATTATAGGTGCAATGGATAAGAAAATGCATTAGTCAGAGTGAGCATACAATTTTTCTTTTGATTGTTTAGCCGTGTATTCAAAGAGACATATAAACTTGCCAATGGGACAAAAAAGGCAGCGACTGTGACGATTGCAACAAAAATACACAACAGACGATCACTTTAGATTCACATGAACAATTGAACGAATAGTTTTATAACACAGTTCACTTTTAGGTATCTGCTACCAGTTCATGAAGAGGATGTACGATCACCATGTTGAAAATGAGCTTGATTCCAAGGTTGTTCTTCACCGTTGAACAAAATACAATAGGCAATACATCCAAACGCACCGATGCCTGCTGATATATTAAATATGAGACGCCAGGCTTGAAGTGTTTGCTGGAATTACGCATATGAGAAAAAAAAACTTATAATAAGGCAGAGAGACAGTAAGAACTCACATTATTGTTTGTGATTGCTCCTACTACATAGGGTCCGATGAAGCCGGGTATTGATCCCAAAGAATTTGCGATACCAACAATAGTCCCTAACATGCATAATTTCGCTGAATAATCGTGACTTTGAAAATTTCTTACCGGCATAGTTCGGTGCAACATCAAGATGGGAAATGAGAGAACCAGAATTTTGCATGCCGATAAACGCCACAGCAAAAGTACAGCACAGAACGGCACTTACATGATTACAGCCCACATAGCCTACACCCAACAAAAATACGCAAGTACCAGAAGTGCCTAAGTTCGACGATAAACAGGTTGTTTCTAATTTAGTATCTTACGCTTACCAATAATAGTCTGAGCTCTTCGTAGTGTTGTAATTGTAACAAATTTGTGAGCTTGAATATGATCAGCGATTTGAGCCGATATGATGGTAAACACAAGATGTCCCAAATATGGTAAAGCAAAAAGAAAACCATTCTATATTGATGACATTAGGTTAAATCAATAAGAAAAATATTATATTCATTTCAAAGTTTAATAATAGAATCTTTTTCTGAATGCATATAGCCATCTAGAAACTTTTTTACTCGTGTGCATAGCCAAGTTCGAAGTTATAAGCTTTGCTTGGAGTTACAGTCCTTTTTTTAGAATAATCTCTGATATATTGTTAAGTTTCCATGTGAGAATGCTTAATCCACTGTTTCAATCCAGAATCTCTCCGGACATCTATAGAATTCACACCGTTTTCTGAGGTTTTCTTTAGCCATTCGTCTTTTGAAATAAAATGACTAGATCATAAGACAAAGAGAGAAAAAGATTCAGTTTCTGTGTGTCACATATATCAGAACGATAAATATCTAGACGAGTCTTAGCCACAAAAATTGGATGGATCCAAAACAAAAATTCGTTTGACCAGGGTTTTTTTTGCAGAGATCCGTAAGAAGCTAGCCAAAGTTGACGTGCGCCGTGCTTGACTACGTAATGAGTGAAAATAACTTCCGAATGAGTATTTCCATTCGAGAAAAGATTTGGCTCATCATACATAGAAATGAAACAGAAGGCGCAAGATCTGTTTACCTCATAAAGTTTAAAATTGAGTACGGTTGCAAAATAGATAGGCAACGAAGTCAACAATGTATAGTAGACATAATTGCTACAAATGTAGATTATAGCGATAGCATAGACAGGTGGTGAACAAGCGATACTTTTCCATGGTGTTTTTAGGTGCTATTCGAATGAACAAGTGAAAACAGACATTGAACAAACAAATGGAATTATGTTTCAAATACCTTGCGAGTATTGATTATTGAATGCTTGGTTAAATAAATACGTTCTTTGTTTGTAATACGTGGGTGATCATCAGGCGAACTGAAACCGAAATAACACCAGCCGACAAACCACAAGCATGAGATTGCACCTAGATACAAATAGATAAAAATAATATTTTATTGGTTTTGAGAATGTTTTGTTACCAAACACATAGAAAGCGGATGGCCATCCACCGAGGAATGTTGAATCACTCATAATACTGACAAGTGGCGTGGCAAATATGACACCAAGATTAGTACCGGATTGAGCGGCGGCTGGAACAGTACTTCGTTCGGCAGGTGGAATCTTTTCAAAGCATTAAAACCAAGAGACAATTACAACTCACGAAGGAACGGTCTGAAGTAATTCCTCGCTTTCAAGGTCACATTTTGTCCATAAGTAAGTTGAGTCAGACTAGAAAAACTCCTAAAGGACATGTGTCAATATAACTTTCTTCTGTAGTTAGGACTGTTTCAATGGTCTTTCGATCTTCGGCAAGGTATTTACAAAAAAGTTGAATGATAGAATTTCTAACCAGAAGTTTTATCTACAGATAGGTCTGATGATCCTTAGAATAGTCTAAAAATTTTAGCAATAGTGAATGCTTCTCCCTGTACATAGTGGATTCTCGAGAAAACTCGACTTTTTTGACCTTTTTATGTCAAATATGATCATTTTTTCGAGATACAGTACCTCGAGAAGGAAGCATTTACTTTCGTTGAGACTTTTAGGATATTCTAGGGATCATTAAACCTGTCTATTGGTCAGATTTCAGGTCCAAAATTTCTTCATTCGATTTTTTTTGTAAATATCCTGGGAGTAGTCGAAAGAGCATTGAAACAGCCATAATTCGGGAAGAAAGGCCTATGGGCATATATCCTTTTGGAGTTTGTCTAGTTCCACTGAGCCCTTCTAGTGCACAAACTATAAGCGACGACGAGAGAAATCACTTTGGACAGTTCTTTCGTCAGATGTAGTATGGATACTCACCCATTTTCCCCAAAGAGCTGCTGCCGACGGATATCCAGGACCCTGGAATAAGCCAATTAACACTCGAACTGCAACGAGCAGTCCAACATGAGTGCGAGCTGCCAGTGGTGTTAACAATGTTAAAATGGCAGCTATCAATATGCATCCACCAAAGATCCATTTGCTACCGAACTTCTCTGCTAAATTGCCTGACAAAAAAAAAAAGAAATTCGTTATTGATACTCTAAGAGGATGATTTGTGTGTCATTATATCACCTCCAATCCTGTAAAACAAATAGTAGAAAACGAGATATCAATAAACGTGCTTACACTTGAGCAATAACATAGCCGTAGAAGAAAGCTCCAAGAACTATGCCCTGCATAGATGGTTGCCAATCGAATTCATAATGCTATAAAGAAGAGAAAAAAGTATTTTCGAGTTGAATCAAAAGCTAGATAAGATAAACTATGAGTGATTCTGGAGAACTCGTGTTCGATACTGGACATGATGTTACTGATTTATTTAGCTCATTTTGTGGTGCTACCTAAGTGATATATAAGAAAGAAAATTATGTTTGATCAGTTCGCATTGCACAGATCGTTTGATGGACTCACCATAGCGACAATTGCTACAGAAAGATTGACACGCAATGTATACATACAAACGAAACCAAAGAAAGTCCAGACAGCGATAACGTAACGGGCAGGTACAGATGAACATCGGACGGGCAGAAGTGGTTTCACTGCAACTCCATCATTCAGGACGGACTCCCTCCTGTCCTCCTTTTCTTTATTTGCTGGTGTAGTTTCACCTCGGGTTTCAGCCTCTCTTGTACTCAACAGAATATGTTCATTTTCTTGCTGTTGTCGATCGGAATCAGCTGATAATAACAGTAACTGCTCATCTTCATTCGGACCATTTAATACTGTCAACTTAATACTATCATGTGTTGTTGCCATATGACTAGTCGTTCGTTAGATTAAAGAAATGATGCAAACCTCACCTCACCTTTTCACTTGAAACAAAAATGATGGTAGATGTGTTTGCCGCACTCACTTATATATATTTATCTCTTGCATTTCGCTTATCTCTTTCTGCATACTCTATCCTTCTCGGCAATGGTCATCAATTTATCCTTGCTTTTCGCTGCTTTCTTCATCATTTTCGCTTTGATCGTTTTCTTCATAACCAAGCATTGTAGGATGTGGGTGTGATTTAGTCGCTTGCGTTCTGAACCAATATCGTATTAGTTGTCTTCTGTGAACGGGAACATCGATTTCGAAGCATGAGGCATTTGTCCGACTGCGAGTGTTTGTGGACACTTAGATAACAAACTATTCATATGAATCTAATGGTTTAGATTTCGTGGAAAAGGAATCAAAACATTTCTCCTCAATATAATCAATTGATCATTTTGCCAAAGGGTACATCCTCTGAGAGCTCACAATTTCGAACGGAATTCCAATACGTCTACCAACGAAAATCACTTTTTTCTCTCACAATTTTGCTTGGATGAAAATAATTTTTTAGAGCTGTTTTGTAGCTAAAAATTTCCTCTATCTAACCATATAAATATTCAAAAAGAAAAGAAACTTTCTTGACCGAAAAAATCAAATTCAAACAATTCGAGAAACCACCTATCAATTCGGATTTCTTGAGTCCAAACGCCTTTGGTCAGACTTTGTAAAAGAATCCTTTTTTTTTCATTAAAAAGACGTTCCCCGCAACCAAAAAAATAGAAATTGCTCATTTATATATTGTTATCTAGCATGATTTTCAATTTATTCTCTTTGTTTAATCATTTTTTCTTTTAATTTCGAGTTTTGAATCCATTAGACAGACAGAATCTTCGGTAGAGATTTCGTATCTTGAGAGTCGTCACTCTTCTCTCCTTTATTTTTCAATAATTTCAGTCATCTTGGATTCTTTACATATTTCAAAAGATCGTACACAGTAAAGTTGTATCCTAATGAGAAAAATTTGATTGACTAGAAAATACAGTTCTTACTTGATGGTCCATTATTTCGATCCGATATAATTTTCAATAAATAGTAATCGTCGTCTTCATTATAATTACCCAAGCGAGCCGAAAAAGACATGCGAGGGGCGCGCCGAGCCCTCGACCCATCGGAAAATGGCAATCCGAGGGGTCGATTTGAAATACCAATGGGTCCAGAGCCTGATGGTAGGTACATTGATAGTTAGCAGAAGCACGAGATCGAATCTTTGAAACATCTATGATGGTACAATTTTGAGATACGAGCTATACCCATCGGAATTTCAAATCGACCCCTCGGATTGCCATTTTCCGATGGGTCGAGGGCTCGGCGATGGGTATCTTAGGAGACATCGACAGTGCACAATCGAGGCGTCGAAATACCCCTCGAAAGGCCAGTTGGGTAAGTAGAAAATCCCATCTCTCTGTTTCATTAGCACGAGTAATAGTACATCAACGTATATCATCGGAATATTGTTTTTGTGCAGTGAAACTCTTTAATATTTTAGATTTTTGATTGTAATGAAGGGTTAGTTTATTAAGTGACGACTTTGTTGAATTATCATCTGTATCGTCGTCTTCGGAAGTATCTGAATAAAATATTTCCGTTGTTCATAAAAGAAACTTCGTTTTATTTCTTACTTTCTTCTATATTTTCATACGAAAGTGTTGGCAGGTTTTTTGCAAATGAACTGTTTTAAAACTTTTTTGATTCTAATGGTATATTATTTACTTGAAAAAATATATATGTATGTGTATCACCAACATATAATTTTATGAAACGTTTTAATTTTGCTTCAATCAATCTTTTTTCTATTATTTTACGTGGTTCATTATCAATAAATTTATCATTAATCTCAAGGACTCGATCATTTTTACGTAATATTGTTGGACTAGCTGGTGAATCCGGAGCTATTTCTTGAATATATGCGCCAATATCATATTTACCATAAACAATATCGAAACCAAATGTTTGATCAGTTGTACTTAAACGTATTTCGCATGTACGTGGTGTATGTTTAGAAAAATTCATGTAATCACCTGGCATTTGTTTGGGTGTGTCAATTACTTGAGCGAATCTAGGATTGAATGAGATGCCATTTTCTTTTAATATATCATAAAAATGTTTTTGAATAACAAGTAATTCAAGGCGATCATTGCTATCTCGTACATCTTTAATAGCCTTTGTTACTTCAATATATTCACTCTCAGATACATCTTTATTATTAACAGCAAGAACAACATCGCGAATTTTGAGACTGGCGGCACTTGCTGGACTATTCGAATCGACAAGTTCAATAAAATGTGGATGTTGTATTGAACGCTCAAGACTAAAGTCAAGTCCAGCATAATTAGTCCATTCACATATTCGACAAAGTCGCAGATTGGCTTTACTTTAAAATATCTTCATCTGTTAAGTCCGACATGAGAATGTTTATAAATATACTTTTTAAATTAAATTCAAAGATCAGTATGTAGAAATTAGATTACCTAAAAGATTAAATCAAAATATAGATTTTTCAGAAATATATATTCCTTAATATTACTTTTAACAATGGTCTATGCATATAGCTACAACTGACAATGAAATAATATATCTACCTTTGTCACTCTGTTAATCGGTTTTTGATCACGAAGTTTTTTTCTTCTCTCACTGCTTATCTAAGAAAGCAAAGGAGTCTGAAAAGTACCATATATATATATATATGCACGTACCTATGATCGCATATAAAGTGAAAGAGGAAGGAGGAAGAACATTTCTACATGCATTTTTTGAAATTGCAGAACAAGTTAATGTCTCATTCTTTTTTCCTTCCCTTTTTTATACATATCAACGTTTATCATCACAACAAGCAGATATATTATAATGAAATTAAAATTTTACTGTGTCACATACATACATGAAAAATATTCAATTGTTATGTTATAAAATTCCTAATAATTTAGTCCGCCCTTCAATATTGGAATAAATAAGAGCAAAAATATTCAATGGATGACCATAATCAAATAGTTATTTTTTAACACACGAAAATATCGTAAACAAGACATGCTAACATCACTTTGAAAAATGATTTATTTAAGTATTGTAAAGAGACTGATTCAAGCGGTTGACTGCAAGAAACCTGCATCAGACTAACATTATGTCTAGAGCTACAGTTAATACTAGTTGTAGAAAAGATATCGGGCTAATGAATCAATTAATAGACAAGACTCTGTATCATAAGGTAACCGAAGACCAAAGATATTTTTCTTCGTTTTCTTTCAAACAAAATTGTTCTTCTAATATATAAAACGATTATGTAAACAAAATATACATTGAAAAATATGACAAGTAGATATGCATATGAAGAAAATAGATCACAATTTACTTACAACCTTCATTCACATCTGTCCATGCCTTTCTCACTCAAGCTTATATAAGCCCACTGAAAACACATTCTTCATCATTTATATATTAATAGATAAGATAACAAAACAAAAAAGAATACATATCTTTATAATGACAATGGTAAAAAAAAGAGGACATCTATTTAAATAAATACATACTGACATCAATGAATGAATTTCTGCAATATGTTACTAACGATTTTTTTCTTCTCTCATGAAAACTTTCCGATCATAAAGACGAGTAAACTGTTTTAATTATGTCTGGTTTTTCATTGCTATTCATCACTAGGTGGAGTATCACGAAGAAAATGTTTTTGATACTAAACAATTTCATATCTATTAAGGACAATTTACTGATATTGATTTGAATAAGACCAAGAATTAATTATGCTACTTATCGTTCTCTAGTATAAAACAAGCAAATAGATGCGTAACTTCACATGATAAAAAATAAAGAACTAAATAAAAATATGAAGAAACAAAAGATGAAGTACAAAACGATATTATATTTTTTTTTATAACAATCGTTGGTCCATCTTTCTTCTTCTTACAATAAGTATAGATGTTTGCTTTATTACAAACATATAATATGGTATTTTCATTACTCAATTTTTCAGTAGGTTGAAGAATTTCTTGAGGGAGATTGTTATATTTATTTTACATAAACTGGTTGGTATACTAGTGAATGCATACTACAATAATAAATAACTTTTTTTTATAGATACAAAGCAGTGAAGACATTAACATAGTATCTGTGAAAATATTTTGTCGAAGAATACACAACAGAAGATATGGTGTGGGTGTGTGTCCTCACTTTATTCGAACACCCATTCACACCTATACCCTCGATCAGATTTGACCTGAACGCTTCCGAAAGAGTAAAATAAGGGTTATTTATGCGTAAGCGATTGAATATGAAGTCATCAGTAGATAAAAAATCAAACAAAATTTTGAATATTTAAATGACATGAACATCTGCTCTTTCTCTCTCTATTTTTGATGTGTCTTGAAAAAATTTCGTGATTCGTGAGATCTCAATA